ACATAATTTTTAATATAATTACATAGATGCATCATATGTTCAACAATTAAATTTGAAATATTTGATTATGTAGTATGAGCATTATGCTATCATTTTAGTCCAATCTTACTCTCACTTTATAGAGTTTATGGAAATTTCTAGGTATGTACAATTTCACATGCAAAAAAAATTGGCACAATAAGGGCAAGCATAAAAAAAATTCCATGGTCTAATTTAACAAAAAATTTAGATACCAAGAGATTATTTACAACATTTTTCATTCACTTGGTAAGTTTTTAAAATGACGACTCATTGGAGTTTTTAGGTAAGGAAGCACTAAGGGAATCAATATAATTTTAGATGCCACTATTGATCATACATGCCTCCATTATTTTAATTTAGAGGATCCTTACCTCAAACATTTACATTCAATGTCACAAACATTTATTATTGATTTTCTAGAGATAAAGTTTGTGCTTCAAAACGAGTTTGAGTACTAGCATTACATTTTCACACGTTATTGAGAACTTTGGGATTAAATTTTATTTATATTGTAGTATTCTAAAACAAAATCATTCATTGCAGTGAAATTGTCGGTCAATGACATTCAATATATATATCCACAAGTCACAAGATGTCAATCCATTGTATCTATAATTTGCTATAATGTTGTGACGTCGAAAGAAGGATTTATTGTGTTGAACTGTACCATAATGGTTAATAAACCAGGTCTTCCTCCCTACATGTAAGGCTACCAACATCAAGTAATGCAAGGTCCCACTATAATTTCTAGCAAATGGTATTGGAAAAATATAATGCGTGGATTACTAAAATAATGAAAATATTAAGTACATAAATGGTTGAAAATCTGTTTCATTTAATGATTGGATCACAATGGGATTAAAAAAGGGATCAAGAAAAATTGAAGACATATAAGGATCACTTGATACATGATCCCAGCAATAGGAAGTAAGAAATCGTGTGACAGAGAATTGTGATGTAGCTGTAGCTGAAATCCATAGTAGCTATTGTAATATGCCCAATTTTCCAGTGATAAACCAATAGTAAAGATACCAACTATTTTGGTACGTATGCCCAATCTACTTGGTATATCACATAGGTATCCACGATTAAATCTAGAAATACTGTTTTGTCGTAAAGATACTCAGGTGTCTTGAAAAGAGAGTTGAAAGGACTTGGGCAACAGATTTGACACTCTAATATGGTGTAAAGGAATCAAGCAAGGAGAAAAATAAGAAACGAAAAAGGATTTAAGTAAATGTAGCATTTTGCTTCCTATAAAAAATTTAGAATTTTTTTGCCAATAAGAACTTTTATTCTATGTATATTGAGATCCAAAGTTCTAACATTCATCATTAAAAAGTACCAAACTAACAAATGAAATTCAAATAGCAAAATATTATTCTAGCTTGTCAAATATTCAGTTGACTTCATTGGTAAGAGCAATCTATGTTAGTTGATTATTTTCAGGCGAAACCAAGAAACCAATGTATACGGGAACTTAAGCAGAACCAGACAAGTGAAGACCAGGTGGATGATGAGACGACTGAGACCGGTTTGTGCCAGAAGGCTAAACCAACATGAGAGAGAGAGAGAGAGAGAGAGAGAGAGAGAGAGAGAGAGAGAGAGAGAGAGAGAGAGAGAGAGAGAGAGAGAGAGTTTTTATATAAGGCATGATATCGACGTCCAAGTATCGTGAGTAGTTGGCTGCACTGCTGTAAGAAATGAATGATGCTCGTGGGTCGAGACAAACCCCCACATGGCTGGAAGAAAATTGACAGCTGGAATGCGCTGACCTTTGGTCAGGCCTGCTCAATTCGGTGAGGCCGCCTCGATTCGACAACAGAGACCAACTGATACAGGACGGGGGCCCAATCTAGACCTAGACGGCCCACTAGAGGACTCAAGTTCTCCAATGACGTCGCTCTGAGGTTTAACCGAGCGACGGGTGTGGCGGAGGTGCTCCTCCACGGCCTCTACTTCTCCAATGACGTCGCTCTCTCGCCGGATCAGCAATCGGCGGTCTTCTGTGAGTCCGCCTTGTAGGTTGTCACTACTCTGATCTCGCAATGCCTACGCAGACAGTCCGTCTCCCACGGCCTAAATTCGAGATTGCCCTGTTATGACGGCAGGAGAAGGTTCAGAAGATGCCACTTCCTCGCTCAGAAGAGGGGAGTCATCAAGAAGTTCATTTACGACCTCCCTAACTTCCCGATTTTATCCAAGCGTAGAGAAATATGCAAGCACAGAATCACTACAACAACGGAAACATAATTCCTGGACTTCAAAGAAGGCAAATAACTGAAGATAAATTACTAAGCTATGAAGGAATCCAATGAGAGCAGGTTTTCCACCAAAAACATCTCCCAAACAAAACCACGTCTCTTAGACAAACAATGGCTCCTTCTTCACTTCTATAAAAACTCTACCTATAATAGAAATGAACAAGAAGGGGCCGAACAACAAAGGAGGAAGAGGGGGAGAAGAGAAACAAGAGGAGGACAAATCTCATCCCTTGGCAGCAGCAAACCGTCGCCCTAAATTCTCCCAAAGAAACAAGGGCGAAAAGGCCTAAACTCGATTGGAGGGCCCGCCCACATATTATGCGGGCGGTTTATCAAACCGATCCTTGACCTGAGACTTTATTAACAAAATAAATTATTACTTTTTCTGTGCCGCACAGACCACAAAAGTCAAACTCTGGTCAAAGACAACGTGCTTGGACGGCCAAATCGGTTTTGGGCTTCTATTATATTTTGTAAATACATATTTCAGTCATAATTTAAAAAATATTTTTCTTCCCCACAGAGAAACGAAATTAGAATTGCCTGAGGAGGTGCTCAGAACAATATGAAGTGCTAAAACCAACCGATGTTTCTAATTTCCCATGTTTTTCGCAACAGGTCTGACGGGCGATGTCCTCATCACAGGGCACTCCATTCAAGCAAGCGAGGAGCTTCCTGTGAACGAACACGGATACGAGCAAAGTTCGACAAAGATCGGGAACCTTTCAAAGAACACGCATACATTACCATCATCAAATTTCTCTGGTATTTATTGACCACGATCAACTCCAATACGTGAGCTGCTGGCTTGTCTCGGACTTTCTATAAATAAGCCTTAGGCCTCTTCAGCAACGGGCTCACAGCGGGCATAGAGCACGATGGCGAAAAGAAGAAGTAGCTCCCTCTCTCTTCTCCTGGTCCTCCTCGCTCTTCTTTCTTCCTGTTCCTCTTTCCATGGCTCAGTGCCATCAGGTCCAGAAGACAGCAAGAAGAAGGTAGGTGCACGGTTGACCAACGACGTATAGTTTCACAGAAAAAGGAGGGGGGAGTTTGATGGCTTATTGGTTTTAAGCAGCTGCACATCGTTTACATGGGTGAGAAGCACCACGAGGACCCCGAAGTCGTCACGCCTCTGCACCATGACACTCTCTCTTCCATTCTGGAAAGGTTTGTACCCCGCTACATCATTTATTTGGCTTGCTTAGTAGTGTTACCGACTGATCGAATCCCTAATCGGACATGCAGCAAGGAGGAAGCTCTTGGTTCGATTGTCTGCAGCTACAAGCACGGATTCTCAGGCTTCGCCACCATGCTTACAGACTCTCAAACGAAGAAACTCGCTGGTAAATTTTGCGCGTCATCAAGTTCGAAGAGCAAATAATCTGAGGTGAGAGAGAGGAAGAGATACAAAGGCAGAGAAGGGATGAAGAAAACAGCAGGCGAGAGCGTTTACGTTTGAGCGAATGGATAACAGGAGACTGTTGGAGAGAGCGTAGCGGGTTTAGGAGCAGAGCGTCAATAAGTTCTTACGGAGTTTCAAAAAGTAACATCTCTTAGGGATAGGATCAAAGTCTGGATCATACAGGCACTGTTTAGGTAGGTAATGAAATAATCATCGTTGACATCATTCAAATAAGATGCTCACAAAATCGGATTTCAGGGATGAAGGGAGTACTCGGTGTGAGGTTGAGCCGAACCGTCCAATTGAGTACGACGCGTAGCTGGGACTTCCTCGGGCTCAGTTACAACAATCCTCCTTCCTAGATCCTTCACAAGGCCAGGCTAGGCGACGGTGTAATCATCGGAGTCATCGACTCAGGTAGACCCCCTTGGTACTCTGTAACTAGTTCTCGTTTCGCTTGCGTTTATTATTTCCAGATACCAATTGGGGTACTACTGTGTTATTATTGATCTTAATAAGAAGTATTTTTTAGAGGGGAAACTGCCTGTACTGTGGGCGTGCAGGAATATGGCCAGTATCCAAAAGCTTCGACGACAGCGGCTACGGCCCAGTTCCGGCACGGTGGAAGGGGACGTGCAAGGCGGGAGAGGAGTGCAACCGGAAGATCATCGGCGCGCGATGGTACACAGCTGGTGTTGATGAGGTCACTGAAAGAGGACTACCCCTCTGCGCGCGGTTTGGACAACCATGGTACCCACGTAGCACCGACGGCGGCTGGATCCTACGTACGGAACGTGAGCGAAGGTGGACTGGCTACTGGATGGGCGAGAGGCGGGTCCCCACGTGCTAGGCTAGCCGCATATAGAGTTGCGGGGGGGCAGAACGGCACGTTGTCTACTGCATCGTTGCTGGCAACCATTGACGGTGCCATATATGACGGCGTCGACGTTCTCTCCTTATCGTTGAGCTGCGAAGAAGAGTCCTGGGGATCTCTGCAGGCTGTGCTGAAGGGAATCACCGTGGTGTACGCAGCTGGAAACAATGGCCCGTTTCCTCAGACGGTGTCAGACAATTCCTCATGGGTTATAACCGTGGCAGCCAGCACGATGGATCGTTCTTTTCCCACCGCCATCACCCTCGGAGACAATGTTACTCTGCTGGTTAGTATCATTGCCTTTATCTTAGTTGACGCTTCCATTACTTAAAAGGTTTCCCATCTTGTCGATAGGAATCCCTTTCCAGCCTTTCTTCAAGGAAACATTACTGCACCGGGAGTCAGCATCCTAGCTGCTGAACGGGATTCGTACAGTTTCATGGATGGAACATCTATGGCAACTCCACACGTATCAGGAATCGTGGCACTCCTCAAATCCTTGCATCCTAATTGGTCCCTCGCGGCAATAAAATCGGCCATTCTGACGACGACCGGTATGTTCTCTCAATCCCACATCTATTTCGCTTCACAGCATCGGTTGTCGACAAAGATGGTGTGCCGATAGTGGCGGAGGGCATACCCCGCAAGCTCGCTGACCATTTCGACTATGGCAGCGGCCACATTAATCCAGAAAAAGCAGCTGATCCGGGGCTTATATACGATATCAATCCGAAAGATTTCAACCAGTTCAACTGCACTTTCAATCTTTTGGTGGTTTGCCAAACTCCACAACTTCCCGTCTACCACTTGAATCTGCCTTCCATCTCTATCCCCGATCTCAAAACCAAGGTGACAGTCTCAAGAACCGTCACCAATGTGGGCTCAGTCGGCAGCACTTACATCGCCATTGTCGAACCCCCGCCAGGGGTCGAGATGGAAGTTCGACCATCAAAGCTCGTCTTTGATGAAGGCACCAAGAGACAGAACTTCACCGTTACGTTGACGTCTGTCCGCAGGATTCAGGGAGTATACACCTTAGGAAGCTTGACTTGGAAAGATGAGACTCATACAGTCAGGATTCGTATTGGAGTCCGCACTGTGATCAAGGATTTCTATGCGGACGTTGCATAGCTCTCCGATTGCATGGAACACATCTGTTGCAGTCTCGTTTTCTATTGTATGGGTGTTAAACGATGTCTTTATCTCATAATTTATTAACAATAAATGACGTGAGACGCATGTCGGGGAAAAAGTTATTTTCATTTATAAATCTGTCCAGCTTCTCCTTGTGCTAATTTTTTCTCACATTTGCTATGTATTTTTAGGAAGGCCACAAGATTTTTCTTGAGATTTATAAGATTGAAACATCTAAATAAAGGGCACAAGTACTAACTATACTACCAGTAAATCGTAAAATGTTATTTCAAGGTTTTAATTGGAACGCATCAGAATAAAAAAAAATTAGAATGAAATGAACTTTCCAACCATTCTAGGAAATGCAAAGACTCTTCATGTCTTACTCTCAAATTTAATGTCCTTTTGAAATTTGATAATGATCATCAATATTGGTCAACTTGTTAACAAACAACTGCATCTCTTACAATGTCTTTCCTTTTTAAAAAATATTTGCAAATTAAAAATGTAGCAAATAGGTAAAACACCATGTCTATTTTTACAATGAAAATTTCTACTAATAGTATAGCAAAAAAAATTCAAGTATAGTGGAGAGTGGCCAAAGAACTAGTATCAGTTATTTAAGAATAAGTTTTTCAAATTACAATGGTGCATGATGTGTCACACTTCAACTTGATTTTTTTCGTGTAGTATAATCCTTATCTATCATTTTAACCCAACATCACTCTTCATTGTATAATTCTATGAAAATTTTAGTGCACGTACAATTTCACATGCTAACAAAAAATTGACACAAAAAGATCAAATAGAATTGGATTCCATCAGATTCGTATGAAATTTCCCTTAATTTGGAAAAAATGGCATAATGGTGATTCATTTGAGGTTTTATACAAGGGACTACTAGAGGAGTCAATATAGTTTTGGTGCCAATATTGATGACACATATCATTGGCATTTACTTTCAACAATTCAAGTTATCATTAATTTTCTAGAAAGAAACTAGGTGCTTCAAAAGGAGTTAAAGTACAAGCACTACATTTTCATTCTTGTGATGGTGCTCACGATCAAATGGAAATCAATGAAAGTTTCACTACCTTAAATTTTATACTTAATAAGCTTCTTATTGATGTCACAATTGTGAAGTCATATTTTGTCATACAATTCTAACTCTTCTCAAAGCAGCATGATATTCTCTTAGTGCAGTGAAATAATCTTCTTTGGAATTAATTGTTTCCCAAATTAGTATATTCGAAAATAAAATCATTCAACTTAATGAAACTAGAGATCAATGGCACCCAACACATACAACACAAGTCACAATATGTCAATCCATTGTATTTGTAATATGCTTGAGTACCTCATCATCGCATCATCTTTAAAAGAGTAATTTTTTATTTATCTAACTGTGACATAATCACAATTAATCACATCTTCTTATCTATATGTGAGATCAACATCAAACAATCGAATATCCCACATCTATCTCCAGGAAATGGTCTTCGACCAATATGATGCATAGACTATCAAAATAATGAAAACATGAATTACATTTAAAGGGCAGAAGAACAATGTATGAATTTAACTCTTGTTTTTTTCATTTCTTGATTTTTTTGCATGATATTAAAGCATAAAATATTTTCATGGAGGAATGGCACTAAGGAATCATGTGAGAGACAGATGTGTGATGTTGTTTGAGCTAAAATACACATTAGCTATGCTACATGCCCAATTTTCAAGAGATAAAGTAATAATAAGCATACCAGCTATATGGTGAATATGCCTGATTTCATTTGATTTTGTAAGCATAGCGCATAGGTATGCATGATTACACTTAGAAGTACTATTTGTAAGCAAAGATACTTGACATCTTGTAAAATTATTTTAAAGGTTTGTGAAAAATATTTTTACACTTTCATATCGTGTTAAAAAAGGAATAAAGGAAGAAAACAAGATTTTAATATGTCTATTGAAAAGATAAAGAAAGTTTTATTGATTAGTAACTTACAATTTTAGTTCATATAAATTGAGATCAAAAATACCAATTTTTATTACTCTAAAATACCAAACAGCCAACTCAAATATTGAAGGATAAAAACTATAAAATTAAATTTAGAACTCAAACAATCATCCACAAGTTTTGATCAATGTAGACAATCTCTAGTCATCTGCAATAAGAACTAAGATGAAGGAGAATGTAATGCTTTTGTGGGCCATTAATTTTTCAAACTTACTTTAGCCCTTGTAACATGGATAAATTGACTTCTTTGGTAAGAGGAATCTATGTAAATTGCCTATTTTTTAGAAAAAAATAAGACTAACATTTCTTTAGTTGTTTAGATTTTAATTTGCTCTATTCTTCAAAGATAATTTATTTTACATTACTACTCTTTCTTAGCAATCATAATGTGGCCTTTATATCACTATACTCTCAACTCAAGCTTGCATAACATTATATACTATTCACTAGCTCACCATTCTAAGTTCAATCTTAAAATTATATTGAATCATCACAATAGTGTTTTTTATTAATATGCTTATAAAAGTATGATCCTTCATAACATGTGCAAAAAACGTAAACTTTTGTGATCTTGTTTTTGAAGATAAGTTTTAAATATTGGAGGCATCAAACATTTTTTCAAAATTGTGTTTCTTAACTAATTCTTCAACAAATATGTTTTGTTGAAGAATTAGTTAACATCGGAGAAGATTGTCTTTCAGTATATTTTGTTAAACAATTATTAATATGTATGAGATGTCTATTTCTAGAGTAACTCTTTCTTTTAAACCATATATGCAACAAAAGGACTTTCATTCTTTCCAGAAATTATTACGAATAAATATTAGCACAACACTAAATGATTATATAATTGGATATTCTTTTCTATTGTCATGACCTTTTAACTATATTTGAAAACACAAAATTGTCCATCCTAAAAATAAATTCAGAAAAATGGAATTGTCAGTTGCCTCATCATAATTTAGAATGAATGAGGATTTTTAATTTCAGACTCAAGATTTTATTGATTCAAGCCAAAACTATGATATAAGTGATTATTATTTTAATATTTTCAAATATTTCCAAAACATTAGTTTCTAAAACACGATTCATCCAGCCAACTCTCAAGGCGTGCATGGATTTAGATAATTAAAGCTTGTGTTATTTATCTTATTAAAATGATGATTTCACATAACCACACACTCTAACTCATCAACTTATATTCAAAGACCTTTGATTGGAAGAGTTTCTAGCAACTCAATTCAAAATATGGAGTAGTAATTATAGATTGAAGTTCATTCCAAAGTCTTGAGTAATATCTCTATAAATGACTTGAGAGAAAATATTGAATAGTTAAGGTGGGTTGAATGTAACTTGGGTTTTAGTTGAACAACCTTTCTCAAAATTTTATGAGTTTTTACGGATTAAAATCCCAATAAATATTCCATCTCTTGCGTAGTATTTTAATACATTTATTGCATCAATTAATTATGTCATATAATTTTTACCATAAACTAAGCACCAGCTACATATTTTTAAGCTTTAACAGAACTTAATCTGGACGAGTTCGACTGAGCCTCATCGTGGGCATCCGACTCCGTGAATTCGTGGGCTCACGTGTCAGTCGGACCCTACCGCACTAACGGCCACCCCCGCCCCCCCGCCAAACCACGGACGACTCTGGATCGTTTCGCGTTTGAATTCTGGAGGCCTATCCACCGTCCGTTTGTAGAGAAGAGGAATATGACCGTTAGAGTGAAAATCTTCCCCTTTTTCTCTCTCTATCTCTATATCTTTAAGAGGCCGGCGGCAGAGGAAGAGGTTGAAGACGCACAGCGAAGGATCGCCAGAGAAGAGACGCGGGGATACGGGTATCAGTCGCTGAAGGGGATCTTCCCATCTTCATCACCTACGCCACGCAGAAGGTGAAGAAAACCTCCAGTCCTCATCCCCAGGACGCTATTATTAGGATTCCGCCTCCCTCCGTACCTCTCTCCTTCCCTCCCTCTCTCTCCCTATCCATCCATGAATCGAGCAAGGTCATCGCTGGACAAGCCGCCGCTGGCGGTGTCCCCGCGGAGACTTCGTCCCCGCCGTGGCCCCCGCTCTGATGCCCCCGCCGGCGCCGGTTGCGGCGCCGCCGTTCCCAGAACGTCACCAGGTACCCTCTGCAGAAACGGCCTGCGCAATAGGACTATCGATCTTGGTGATTTATTTGTATGTTTTGAAGTTTAGCCGCGCCGTCTCCAAAGGAAGCCCCGCAACTGCGCCGCTCGTGCGCGCTAGAGGAATCGCCGCTGGTTTCACAGTACGAGAGGATCTCGCAGGAGCTACAGGCCCTCGTGCAAAGGGCCAAAGACAATTTCCCCGCCGGCGATACCGCGGAAGGCTTCGCCTCCGTTGCCAAACTCGCCGCCGGCCCCACGAGCCCTTTCTTGGAGAGAGGGCGGCTATACGAGATCTACTCGGCCAGGAGGAACGAGCGGCTGAAAAGGAAGATGGAGGAAGCCTTCGAAGAGATGGCGCCCCGCCATTCCGCTGCCGAGGCCGACCTGGGTAAGAGAAAGAGTGCGAAGAGGACGGAGAGTCTGAGGAAATCGGCGCCGGAGAACTTCCTTTCCGGTCCGGCATCCCGCCTGAGGTCGTCCGTGACGACCCGCGGCAGCAAGGGGTCATCCTCCGTCCTGAGGAGTAACATGAAACTCAAAATTGACGGGGAGAAGCTATCCTATTTACAGTCTGACCGCAGGAAATGATCACAGACAGTCCATCCGCAGAAACCTCGGTTTCAGTCTGCGATCTGTCCTCAAGCTATTTCTCTTTCAGAAATCCCTATAAACTCGAGTATGTTTTCGTATCTTTTTCCTTTTAAATGAAACCGGGGCTGCTTTCTCTCTCTATCCAGCGGCGAAAGGAAAGAAAGCAGGTCCTACAATGTCGGAACTCTGAAGACATTGCTGCCCTTCTCAGGCCCTGTGCTCCTATGTAAAGGGAGGGCGGACAGATTGTGAGTTTCTGTTGCCAACTAAATGCATCGTACCGCTAAGTACTCCTCGTCCTGGTGATCTACGCGCCATGTACTCTTCGAGCTCAGGCCCGGCCTGCACAATCCTCGTCGCCCTCCTCCATCCGTCCTCCATCACCAGCCTCTTGGCGGCCGCCATGGACGTCTCCCCATCGTCGTCGCAGACGCCGGGTAGCAGCACGGCCCACGTCTCCACGTGAGGAGCAACGCCGAGGTTCAGCATCTCTGCGAGGACGTCGCAGGCCTCCCCGTACTTGCCCACGGCGCAGAAGCCCTTCACCAGGGCGTGGAAGACCGAGAAGTGGGGGACCAGGCCCTTGGAGATCATGTCCTGTAAGTAGTGGCTTCCCTCCTCCGTCAGCCCCCGGCTGCACAGTCCGTTGACGAGCGTAGTGTAGGTCAATAGGCTGGGGAAGCAGCCGTTGTCCGACATATCGTCGAGCAGCTTGCAGGCGTCCCACGGGCGGCCCTCTCGGCAGAAGCCGAGGATGACGGTGTTGTAGTGGACGACGTCCGGGTTGCAGCCCTTCACCTTCATCCTGCACAGAAGCTTGTAGGCCTCCCGGAGCCTCTTCTTCCTGCAGAGGCTGTTCAGAAGGGTGGAGTAGCTGAGGGCGTCGGGGACGTAACCCTTGTTGAGCATGTCCTCAAGCAGGTCCACTGCGGATGTCACCTGGCTCTTCCTGCAGAGGCCTTGCATCAGGAGCCTGTAGGACTCAACGTCGGGGGTGAGGCCTCTCTTGAACATTCTGTTGAACAGGTCGTAGGCGATGCTCAGCTTGCCGATCCGGCAGAAGGCCCCGATGAGGACGTTGTGGGAGCGAACGTCGGAGGGAACGGCCATGGCGTCGGCGGACCTAAGGATGTGGAGGGCGGAGGGGAGGTGGTCGGGCCGTGCCGCGAGGGCGGAGAGGAGGCGATTGAGGTGCCGCGCGCTGGGGCGGCACCGCGTGTGCCGGAGCATGTAGCGGAAGGCGGATGCGGCGCGGTCGGGGAGACCAGCGTCGGCGTAGACCTTGATGAGGGCGGAGAAGAGACCCGGGGACGGGCTGGGCAGGCGTCGGAGGAGGGAGTCCGCGAGAGAGAAGTGACGAGCACGGGCGAGCTTGAGGATGAGGACATGGAGGGAGGAGTAGGACCTTGGGGAGGAAGGAGAGAAGTCATCGGGCCGAAGGGAGGCGGCGAGGGAGAAGATCTCCTTTGCGAGGAGAGGGTCTGACTGGGTCGCGATCAGCTTCCGGAGGCGGGCGGGGGAGCAGTCAAGTGGCAATTTCAGGGGAGGCGGCGGCGGCGTTACCGGCGCCGGTGCCGGTGGAGGTTGCTCAGAGGAAGAGGATAGAGAAGTTGACGGTGGGAGAGGAGACAGAAATCGGAGCTGAGGTCGCAGATAGGTGACCGTTCGATTCAGAAGCTGAGGAAGCATTTGACGTCCTCCTGAACCCTTCTTCTACCTCGCCCCTGCAAGCTTCCCCGAAGAACCCAGGGCAACACATCGGAGGGAAAGGAGTCGGAAATCCAACGGCCAGGACTGAAACCCGAGCTTCCACGCGGATCGACGTTCTCTACCGTCGATAAGCCTTTCATCGACGGTCGCAAATCTCTCCAACAAAGCTCCGACCGGCCTCTATATCATCCCCCCGTCCCCGTCCTCCTCTCGTCGGTCGTTCTGATCTCGCTGCCGTCTGCAACCTCAGCCGGAGAAGATGTCCGGTCGGGGAAAGGGAGGGAAGGGGCTGGGGAAGGGGGGGGCGAAGCGCCACCGCAAGGTCCTGAGGGACAACATCCAGGGGATCACGAAGCCGGCGATCCGGCGGCTGGCGAGGAGGGGCGGCGTGAAGCGAATCAGCGGCCTCATCTACGAGGAGACCCGCGGGGTGCTCAAGATCTTCCTGGAGAACGTCATCCGCGACGCCGTGACCTACACGGAGCACGCCCGCCGGAAGACCGTCACCGCCATGGATGTCGTCTACGCCCTCAAGAGGCAGGGACGGACGCTCTACGGATTTGGCGGTTAGATCTGGTGGAAGATCATGAAAGGGTGGGGAATATTTGGTTATCCCGCCCGCTCCTCCTTCCCCCAACTGTTACCTTCGTTTCTCTATCGAATCTACGATGGATGTGATCACTGATCCGCCATCAGGATCATCCGAAGTGAGGTCTGCAACATTAAGCAAGCCTGTTCAGATGATGATGACGTAGAATGTGTTTCTTGGGTTTGTGTTCATTCGTAGAAACGATAAGAACAGATGATCCAGCAATGTGCAGCTTCGTGGATTTCTCCTATTATCAACTGGAATCATACCCTAACCTCCGACACAAATCCCTCGCGACATGGAAAAAAAAGCTCGTTCATCCGTCACAAATCCCTCACGACATGGACGCAAACCGTCTTGAATGAATTCCGATCATTTCGAAATTCTGGGGCCTCTACAAGCTCCAGATTCCGTCGTCTGTGCTTCCAAATCCTGCAAACATTAGAGAGTCAAATCTCAGATTCAAAGCTTTTAGTGATGATCAATGGTTTCGTTCGCAGAGGCGTGGGGAACCCATTCTCCTCCCTCTGCCACGGAGACGCTAGGCAGCGGCGCGAATGGAGGCGACACGAAGCCCCTGCCATCAGCCCCGTCCCCCACTGGCGGCGGGGTTACGGCGGGCACGTCAGAAGAGACAGGCCTCCGCGTGACACGTTTCCTAGAGCAAGGACGACAACAGCCTGCCAAGTGGACTTGCAGAGCAAAGAGAAATTCAGCCTCTTTGTTTGCACCGCCGCCGCCGTACAAAGCCCCTCTTTCTCCCAGTGGTTAATGACAATTCCCACAGTGGTTCCGTCATCTAATCGTCATCGTCAATCTCCAAAATCCCCTCCCCACTTTGTGCACCCTCCACCGCCGACGTCTGGATTCCACCACCTTTCCTCTCCACCATCGCCACCGTTCTCCTCTTTGATAATCCTCCCTCGGCCCGCTTCATCTCCTCTCCCATGCCCGCCGACGAGCCCACAGGGTCACCGATGAGCGGAGAAGGCGGCGGCGGCGGTGGCAAGAACGCCGGCAAGGGCATGGTCTACCACCACCGTCCCGCCGCCGGCGCGGCCAAAGCCGTCTGCTACGGCCTCCTCGCCCTCATCCTCCTCGCCGGCGTGACCGCCCTCGTGCTCTACCTGGTCTACCGCCCTTCCAAGCCCCGCTTCGCCGTGGTCGGCGCCGCCATCTACGAGCTCAACGTCTCCTCCGCCCCCATCTCCACCGTCTCCGCCAGCATGCAGATGGCGGTGACAGTCCGTAACCCCAACAGCCGCTCGGCCATCTACTACGACCGCCTGGTGGTCTATGTGACTCACAGAGGCCAGGTCATAACGCCGCCGACACCGCTGCCACCGCTGGAACAGGAGAAGGACAGCACGGTCGCGATGTCGCCGGTTCTTGGCGGCGGGCCGGTGCCGGTGTCCCCCGAGGCAGCGGCGGGGATCGCGGCGGCGGAGGCTTATGGCGTGGTGGCGCTGCGGCTGGTGGTTGCGGGCCAGATCAGGTACAGGCCCGGGCCATTCCACAGCACCAGGGTCGGCATGTTCGTCAGGTGCGACCTCGTGGTGGGGCACCGGAGAGGCGTCTACGGCCAGGTGCCCCTCCTCGGCGGCGCCGACTGCTCCGTCGACGCCTGAAACTCTCCGAGAAAAGCTCTGGATCGCCGCCGTTTCCAGTCTGGGGGAATTCGGCTCCGGCTTCTTCCAGAAACCATGAAGGGTCTGTGAATTCCTCCTCTCTCTATCGTTCATGTCGTCGGCGACCTGTCACTACAAGTCTGCCTTCTTCTCCTCCTCCCTGAATAATCTCCGGAGCTCCGACGATCTTCCCTGCTTCTCCTCAAAGGAGGAGACGATCGGTCGATCGAAACAGAGCCTGGAAAAGAGCCCATCGCCACCCCTGCGAGTGGAAATCACGAGGAATTGGAGAAGATTTTCAGAAAAGCCTGTGAATTCTGTCGATCAACCCCCGAATGCGTGTTTATCGTTTTGGTCGGGCGTAGGTCATTAGGCCCTACGACTCCGACAAGGCCCCAACCCGGTCCGATCAAGAAAAATGCCCGAATTAAAGGCTTTGGGCGGGGCCCAACCGTCCGAAAAGCACCACCTTTAGCTTCGGTCTGGGCTCGTCCAATTGGTTCACTTCCTCGCAAAGCATGGCCCATCGAACCGGACCCAATTGAGGACCCGGCCCAGATGCCGATTGCCACCGGGCCGGGCCCTATAATTTTCCGCCCCTCACTAAATCAGGCCTGGAAGCCGGCAAGCACCATCGAATATTGAGTGCCATCACGTTGAAAGGCAGACACAGGGGAAGATAAGATGGCTTACACCTTCCTAGAGAGAGAAACGGACGACGGAGGAGTCAACTCGCCTCTCCTAATCAGGTTCTTCTTTCCACACGAGCGGCTTCCCGCCGTCGACGCCGCCATCCGGCGACCCACCACTACCTGCCGCCGCCGTCGCGGTGGTCAAGCACTCTGTCGCGGGTGGAGAGCCTCCTCTTTTCGCGTCGGTGATGTGATCTGTCGACCGCCGGGAGTCCAGTGAAGGCCCGGAAGTTGCATCGAACTCGATTATTGACAATAAAGACGCCGCCTTTAGGCTTTCTAAGGGCGCGTACACGGAAAACCCCCGTCTCTCTTGACAAATGGTGTCGCTCTTCAAGCAATTGCCCCTGCTGAGACCGGAGACGAGTAGGGTAGGTAGTCAACGGGCTAGCTCAGCTCCCGGAGGAGATAGAAAGACCCTGTCTGTGCCAGCGTGCGCGGGCCGCTATCCATTAAACTAGTATGAAGAGACATCCCCACTTGCTGCGCCTGCTCCCAGATCACTTTATGAAGTAAGAATCTCAAGAGGTCTACGACACCAGCGAGACTTAATCCATGACCAGGCATCCGCCTTCTGCATATCCTTCGGGGGGTTCTCCCGATGCGCCGTAATCTCTCCATATCTCGTTTGGTTAGTTAAGCAGATGTCGCAGCTTCTTGCAGAAGCCTCCCCCAAGCACTGCGCCGAGAGGGGGCTGAAGGGGAAGCGGCTCGGCAGGAGGCTCCTCTGCGTGCTCTCCTCCTCCTTCAGCACCGTACTCTCCCTCTTCCTCCTCATCTGGTTCATCCTCCGCCCCACCAAACCCCAGTTCTACGTCAAGGACGCCGGAGTCTACCAGCTCAGCCTCTCCCCGCCTCGCCTCCTCAACTCCACCGTCGAGTTCACCCTCGTCTCCCGCAACCCCAACGAGCGGGTGGGCGTCTACTACGACAGCCTCCGGGCATACGCCGCATACAAGGGCCAGAAGATCACCGCCGACTCCGCGTTCCCGCCCTTCTACCAGGGCCACCAGGACACTAACCTTTTCTCCGCCTCCCTCTCCGGCGCCAGCGTGCCCGTCGCCGCCTCCTTCGGCTACGAGCTCGGCCGTGACCAGACAACCGGGAAGCTGCCCCTCGGCCTCAGGCTGGAGGGGCGTGTGCGGTGGAAGGTCGGCACCTGGGTGTCGGGGGAGTATCGCATCATGGTCGACTGCATCGCCATCGTCGGCTTCGTCCCCAGCGACATGTCCAGCCCCCTGAGCACCAACCAAGGTAGCGAGTGCTCCACCAGCGTCTGATCACAGCGACGGCCCACGCCCTTTAGATTTCCTCTCCGTTTGCTGCCCAATAACCTCCGCCAGTGATGTATATAATCTCCGTTTGCACTCTTGTTATATCTTCATGGAAGCGAATAACTACTGGTCGACTGGATGATTAGATCTCGGTCTTACGGCGCAGCTGTGTTCATGGGTTCTTCACTGTGGATGGCGATGGGGTTTGGGAGGGGCCTGGGGATGGCGATGAGGATGAGACCTCGGCGCCGCTTTGGTGGTGTATTGGGGAGGGGAGGCGTTGATGAGATTCCCTCAAGTACCCGTTTGACCAGAAAAATACAGAAGACTGTTGGATTTGTGGGCTGAGGAATCCTTGTCGTCTCCTTGACAAGCGCCCCCCCCCTGCCTTTCATCATTGATGTTACATAATGGGTGTCCCACTGCTCTCTCTCTCTCTCTCTCTTTCTCTGTATTTATATATAAATATGTTTCTGCTGCTATCTCTCTCCATCTATGTAGATATGAATATGAATATATCTCTCTTCGTCATTCCATCTCTAGAGAGAGAGAGAGAGATGAGTCCGGCGTCGTTGTTCGAAGCTCTTTGCTACCTAACGACGGAACAGGAAGTTCCTTACCTGCCAAGGAGAGTTAGGTAACAGCGCTACAGTTCGATCGATGTCCTTCCTGTTTAGGTGGAGTTGGTGGCTGCTCGCGTCTCGTGGGCCGGCCCAAGTGCATGAAGATTAACTGGGCCCACATTTGGGCCAGAAAATCGGCCCAGGTTAAAATGCCCGCGGTCGGTAGGGGAGAGAGAGAGAGGGAGAGAGAGAGAAGAGACGCGTTGGGGAGTAGTATTTGATATTATATCGCTCTTCTCCGTGGGCCTTGGTCCAAACGCACGTGTGCCTATATGACGTCAGTTATTAAATCAACGGCTGAGATTTTGAAGCATGATAATTTATTTTCTATTTTTTATAATTCTACCAACCCGTCGTCGAGGACTCCGTCATCTTGACCGGTTGGAGATCGCCAGAGGGTTAGAGAGAAAGGGTGGGAGGGGGAGAGAGAGAGAGAGAGAGAGAAGATCTAGGAATCCTCCGGCGAAGCTTCTCTCCCTGCTTCCCGGAGCTCGCCGTGCCTTGACCTCGGCGACTATAACTCCCTCCTGTGCCTACACCTCTCCCTCTCCCTGCAGCCTTCGTCGGCCCGCCCGCCGCCGTCGTCGCTGCCGTCGTCGCCGGCCAGATCCCAGTGAATCCCCCCGGGGCGTTGGGCCACATGGAGAGCTCGCCACAGGAATCCCACTTGATACCGAATCCGAACGCCTTCACCTATCACTCCCCTCACCCAGTGTACGCCATGGCCATCTCCACCTCTCCCAGCTCCTTCTCCTCCCCGCGGCTTGCCCTGGGGAGCTTCATCGAGGACTTCAGCAACCGTGTGGACGTCGTCACCTTCGACGACGAAGCCCTAGCGTTCAGATCCGACCCCGCGCTTTCCTTCGAGCATCCGTACCCCCCCACCAAGCTGATGTTCCACCCCAGGCCGCTCCCCAACCAGACGGGCGCTCTTCTTGCGTCCTCCGGCGAGTACCTCCGCCTCTGGCAGGTCAACGACGCCTCCTCCGCATCTGGACCGTCGATTGAGCTCCGGACCGTCCTCAACAACAGCAAATCGAGTGAGTTCTGCGCTCCTCTGACCTCCTTCGATTGGAACGATGCGGAACCCCGGAGGATCGGCACCTCCAGCATCGACACAACCTGCACCGTGTGGGATGTGGAGCGTGGCGTAGTTGAGACGCAGCTGATTGCTCATGATAAGGAGGTTTATGACATCGCCTGGGGGCAAGCTGGCGTCTTTGCCTCTGTGTCCGCCGACGGTTCTGTGCGGATCTTCGATCTTAGGGATAAGGAGCACTCCACCATTGTGTATGAGAGCAATAATCCAGACACACCGCTCCTGCGGCTCGCGTGGAACAAGATGGACCTGAGTTACATGGCGACGCTGCTGATGGACAGCAACCGGATCGTCATCCTCGACATTCGATCTCCGGCTACTCCTGTGGCAGAGCTGCAGAGGCATCAGGCGAGCGTGAACGCCTTAGCATGGGCCCCCCACAGCTCCCAGCATCTGTGTTCTGCCGGCGACGACGGGCAAGCACTCATCTGGGACCTGCCCATGAAGCCGACAATGAGTCAAGAGGACATAGATCCAAGGCTAGCGTACACGGCTGGCGCCGAGATCAATCAGCTGCAGTGGTCTCCCGCTCAACCAGACTGGATAGGAATTGCATTCGCAAACAAGGTTCAAGTCCTTAGGGTCTGATGAATGTGGCAATTGTGTTCAGTGAGTAGCTTAACAGCTGTTAGTTATTGCTGCAATGATGTCTCACGCCTCACATCGTTACAAAGGGGATCTAAATGTATGTGCTTGTTATGATGGATTTATCGATGTTTTAATGATCATCTAGTTGATGTATACAGAAATGCTGTATTGGCAGATGAACTGGGTAGGGATCCTGGTTTTTGTGCTTTTTTATCGAATGAACATACAAAAGCAGCAGCTGTGCAGTTTTTTTGTTTTTCTAAAGAAACAAAAGAAAAAAAAGATGATCCCACGTTGCCTCTTCTCCATTCGAATTTTCCATGGTATTGATCACAACCGAGGATTTTCCAGGGCCACATTAATATATTTTTATGAAGCCAATAACCTGAAAGTTTCCGGCCTTGCCCTGATTAGAAGAACTTGTGGAGTTAACCAGCACCTTAGCATTGGAAAATGAGATAATCTGCCCTGAATTTAGATGAAGTGATGGCACAACTCTTCAAGCCGTTTTACTTATTCTCTTATAATCTTGAGTCACATAATCTACACCTAAATCCTCTCTATCTCTTAAATTGGTCTGGCTTTCAGATGAGTAGAAAGATTTCACGGCATCCCCCCAGGACTGATGTCCCATGTCATTCATGCTTTGGTTTGAAAGGTATAGTTTTTGGATCTAATATCAATGCTCACAGTTAGATCATCCACCTCATGTTTGTTGTTCTTATTAATATGCTCGCATTGATTTGGGCCAAGTTTGGAGTTCAATAAAGTTGAACCCACCCAGCTCACAACGAATTGAGTTTGGCATGGCCTCTCCTCAAGGATCAAAAGGGTCTTACAAATCACCTTAGAATCAATCAACAATCGCAGGAGTATGAATTGGATACAATGAAAGGAAACTTTATATGTCTATATATATGTGGCTGTGGATAGGACATGGTAGAACATGATACACGGGTTTTCCTCCTGCTGCTTCAAATAATCTGATACATGGGTTGATGATAATTTTGCCCAGTCATTAAGCATTGAAATGTTTTCATATGGACATTAAAAATTGAAACACGCAGTTTTATTGGAATCTGTGGCTGTTGTATCTCATGAATCAATCGCATGGTTTCCATGGCCTCATTCGGGACGAGTCTTAATATCAATAGCCGATTTAGCGTCTTCATGTTTCAATGGAAAAAAAAAATTTATATGATATGACAGAAGCCTTGAGGGGACTGAAATACATATGTATCAAGATTATGCATCATAATTATCCAAAAAGGCTATAGATCAGGGTTCTGTGGAAATCAATTAAACTCATACAGATCAAGAAAATTTCTGATAACCGGATTTAGATTTCTGGGGATGGCACTAACTCACCCATGTGGAATCTCATCTCTTGTTTGGCAAACAGGAGCAGCCGAATTCATCATATGCTTTCAAAGAATCACATCTAATACGAAACAGTGGTGTATTTTTATATTTTTACCCATATTAATTGCCTTAGATTTCTGGGTTTTGTTTACAAAAATGGCCATCCCATCCACGATTTTAGGGTTAAAAGCATTTCATCTACGAAGGATTGCATTCGGATCCACATACCCACCGCCAAATCATAAGCCGTTCATTAACTTCTGTACAAGGTGCCTTACAAAAACTGGCGACTCCTGGGGATGATCAGTCCATTCCATCATTGAGCCTGAGAAGGGATTCCTTGTGTCATCTCATCTTCTCTCCTTGTTCTAGTATCATCATCCTCTATGCAGTGAAATAAATCTCTGTGGTTGCATAAATGGGACTGCTACACTTACTATCCGTCAGATTTCAGTTAGCTGGGGCAGTAATCACTTGACATGAAAACTGAAGACGACGATTTCAGTAATCACTTGGATGCATACGCTAGATTCTTTTGATCACCCGACAAAGTCATGTAAGATGAATTTGCCCGATAATTTGGCCCTTTCATACTTCCTTTAATTTGGGATCATTTTCACCGCCGATAATTAATAATCGGAATGATGAGTGAATTGTGGTGGGATCTACTGTCGACATGATGAATTTTAAATTTTTATTTATGGTTCCAATTTTCTTATTATTTATTTCATAATCTTTGGTTGATTGCATCACTTTCTGGTAACTAGTATTTGTTACCTAGATTTTGCTTAGACGAACTTACTTCTTTGAGTATTTGTGCAGTTTCTAATGAATTTTATGTCTTTTATGAATATCGTGGATAATCAAATGATTTCAGAAAGTAATTAATTTTTATCCTAATTTAGCAAGGTTCATATTACTCTAGCCTATTGGTTCAACGTTGCAGCCCCATTTGATGTTGCGTAAAACCCATTGGTTTCCTAGTTAATGAAAGGGCCCATTAATGCGGTTTCCGGTCGTACGGGCGGCCCATTAACGTAATGGGCCCCCATTGGATTCAATGGGTCTAAACTGATAAAGATCCGGTAATGCCCACATGGACTATGGACGGAACTCAAATGGTTTTAGTGGGCCAGAACCCCACTCCCTCTTATTACTCGCAACTGTCCCATTTCAATCAATGGCCTCGTTTTTATGGGCCCTGCGTCTTGAAGGCCCCCCAGTGGAGTACAGTAGCCAACGGATTGATCGGGATTCTGGCGTATTTGGTGGACAAACACCCACCCAACAAAGCTCATCAGTGACGGTTAGGGTTGAAAATGACGCGTCTATAATGAGACTATGATCTCCGAGTTACCGGCCTATTTTTGTGTGTTTTTAATGTTGGAATATTTCCAAAAGGGGTATCTTTCAAATAAGAGAGGGCCCAATGGGAGATCATAGTCTTTGCCTTGAACTTGCTGCATCAGAGGATCCAATCTTAATCCACCCTCCTAATCGGGAAATCCTGTCGGAAACATTATTGGAAACGATCTCAGTCAAGATTTCAGTCCAATCATGGTGGTTCTAATGTCGCCGGACATCCACGAAGGTTCTAGGTGGGGCGTTTCAGGGTCTATAATGGCTCGATTAGCCTTCTGTCTCCGGTCTCTATCGGTCGGTCCCCTACTCAAAGCAATCCGAAGCACATTCACATCCTATCTCTCTCTCTCTCCCTCTCTCTAAAACGTGCGTAGCTGGCAGTCCCATTCGATAGTGAATGCAGGTCCACAGTCCCGGAGCCCACGCCTTACGAGACCACCGTAGTGCCACCACCAATTGAATGGTCGATCTCTGTCTTTCATGAAGGCGAGAGTGGAGGGGCCGAGCCTAGGATTCGGCCATGTCCGAGTTCTGGCTCCTTTGGCAGGGCTCTCTCCAGTAGCAAGCACTCTTCATACAAGAGACTGGGATGTTTCAGCTCTTAATTGTCGTGTTCTTATCTTATTTACCACTCGGATAGCGCGCTCCGGTGAACCGATACGGATCTCGGCGGAAGTTGACTCGCCGCGAAGCGCTCGCCACGGACGGTGGAGTGCCGCCGGAGGGCCGCACAAGTGGCAGAAGAGTCGTCCGATGTACGGCATCAGGTGGAGACAGAGGACTCCGGTTTCGGCAGGCCAGATGAGACCACCGACGCGTCCCACCAAGGGATGTGATCGGAGGAGGAGGACAGCACAAGAGGAGGGCCACAGTTGGAATTGTAATGGCGTGGCTGCTCCGTTTGCGGCCACCGACCGTTGACCTGTGACGGCGACCGCGGGAGAAGACCTGATCAACGCCACCAAGGCCTCTCCTTTTCCATTACCATTACCACTCTTCAATGCCCACCATCTGGAGGCTCACAATAACAAATGATTCGGCGCCGCGTGAGCTCTCCCTGCCCCCATCCTATTTTTTTTTATAGTGAAATAATCAGGAAATATATTGAGATAAGTCAACGTGCCGGAAATTAACCTTCTTTAAGGCATCATCTGCGCCACCCTCCTTATATTAATTGAGAGGGATTTTGGAGCCGACACAAGGGGGGGGACGGGAGGGCGCGGTTAAAGATTTCGTGGGGTCTTGCTGAGATTTCAACCGGGCACCAGCCTACCCCCAACGTATTATGCATCCCTCGTTGAAAGCTCTCTCCTCTCCAAAGGTCTGGTCTTCTTTCCCCTATGATCCGCACGAGATCGAGCACAAGTCAACGGAAGCTTGGGGGAGCGGGAGTCAAGCTTATCGCAGTGACGATCACCACCCAAGAACCCCGGAGATCATCGTTCCGGAGGGGACCGAAGCCGCCGGAAGTTTGAATCCTAATCGGCTGGTAATTTCACGCAATTTTCCGGTGCGACGGCGCCGGAATAAAGGCGGCGGGAGACGCCATTGAATGAGGCCCACTTGCTGCTGCGTTCCTCGTGCCCACTCAGACCACCGTATTCTGACGAGGATCGATTCTTTAGCGTTCCGCCTACCTCCAACAGATGCATATCACGTACTGTGAGCAAAAGCCAAAGATGCCGATTTGCTCCTGGCGGCCTCCTCGCTCCCGTTTCACCCCGGTGAAGTGGATGGAGGCTTCCAGGGGGAGGAGTCCTTTCAGTCGTGTCACATTGGCGGTGGAGAGACCGAGGCTGGCAGGTACGGCCAGGATTCTCCGTCACGAAATAAGGAGATCACTGCATTTAATACCATTTCGGGAAGCCGTAGATCCTCAACGTGACAATATGAGCATCATCTTTTTATTAACTTGTGAGAAGTGCGGACAGAAACTAATCTAATAACCTTTTCCCTCTACAGCGGTTCAATGAATGGATCCTCCCCGCTTCCCGATATGATTCCCCGATGGCTATGGCGACCGCCGGTGGAGGCTCTGGCGACCGAGGCCAAGCTCCGTCCGGGCCGCGGCGGCAATTCATAGCTCGTTTATGTCACGTGGAGAAATAGAACATGGAGGGTCTCTATTCCGCAAAAAGCAGAGAAAAAGACCTGCCGGGAACAGACGCGGCTGATTCGACGTCTGTGGACGAGCGCCGCCGCGGTCTTGTCGTGGGCTGCTCTGCTCGCCAGGGAGGATGGGCTGACGGGGGCCCGCGGACTTTTTACGGAGAGGAACTGCTGGGCTCGGCCCGCCCGGCGCGGGGGGGATTTATTCCCCTGGAATAATTCGGAACGTCCGGCGATCTGCCGCAGTCCCTTTCCCCGGCGGGCCGTCGGGGAAACCCTTGAGATTTTTTGGCGGAAAAGTGGGCTTTTCTGGCAAAGAATATTGGATAAGATCTCATGAAATATGTCAGACTTATCTGGTCTTGACTCAGGTGTGCTTTACCAGAGCCACCCAAGCGCTGAAGAAAGCCTGGATTTTTGGGCGGTCGGAACCGCCCCTCGCTCACTGGAGAGAGAGAGAGAACTCCGCTCTTCTTGCTCGGTCTATCTCCCTCCGTTGACGCTCCTCGCAGGCGCAACATCGTCTCGCTCGAGGAGGCTACTGAGTGGGGTTGCGGAGGGCCTGACCGATCCCGGCAATCGTCCATTGTCTTAATTCGAAAGAAACTACTATGATGTTTCATACCGATAGCCCGAGTGGGGCGCCTCGTATAAATCTTCTTACAGCTCCCTGTGGGAACACACCGTCCAGGCGAGCATTGTTCGTAGCTGTCGGGACGCACCGCCGACCATGCGATGTTCCCCTTTTTTGTCCCGGGCGATTATTGAGACGCCCATAAACCAAACGTCAGTTCTTTCACACCTCTCTCTCTCTACCACTTTCAATGGGCCGTCACAGTCCGGGTGTGGGACTGTCTGCGTGCAGTCTCTCTCTCTCTCCCTCTCTCAGCTCGATAGTATGGGTGGATGACGTCGTCGAACTGACGACGCTGGATGGCGTCACTGGGTGTAAGCAGCATCTCGGAGGGGCCTCCCGGTCAGAAGAGTTCATTTAAGCGCTGAGATTACCGGGTGGAGAGAAGACTTGGGATCTGCGTCAACCGTCCGTCTCCAACTAGACCGAGCCCATCTCCCTCTCGGAATAGAGACTTCCCCTCCCTTCGCCGCCTCATCCCCCACCCCGCCGGCGCAGCATGGCAGACCAGCTCCTCTCCACGGCGCGATACGAGACCCTCCCTCTGAGCTACGTCCGCCCGGAGCAGCAACGACCAAGGCTCCACGAGGTCGTCGGTGACGACAACATCCCGCTGATCGACCTCGGGGGCGGCGACCGCGCCCGCATCATCCGCGAGACCGCCGAGGCCTGCCGCACTTACGGCTTCTTCCAGGTCCCCTCTCGATCCCTCCACCCCCTCTGATTTCCGGCCGAGATTTCGTCGGAGCCTCATCCCTCGCGTCCCTCCACCAGGTCCTCAACCACGGAATCTCCACCGATTCGATGCAGCGGATGATGGCAATCGCCCGCGAGTTCTTCCGGCTGCCGGCGGAGGAGAAGGCCGCCCACTACTCCGACGACCCCTCCAAGAAGATGAGGCTCTCCACCAGCTTCAACGTGAAGAAGGAGACGGTCCGTAACTGGAGAGACTACCTCCGCCTCCACTGCTACCCTCTTGAGGACTTCGTCCCCGACTGGCCCTCCAATCCCCCTCTATTCAAGTAAGTGAGCTTCCCCCTTCCGCAGCAACCCTCCCGACGCATCGCTCCCTCCCAAGATAAATATCATGCTTCCTCTAATGCCTCAATGACATCCCTTCCACCCCCCCTGGTTGAATCATACGGTTTCCAGCACCTGGAGTAGTAATTTATGAAGGGGCGGCAAGACTGTCGGGGTGAACCTGGCGGTTGACCTCAATCGGCGTTGACTTAATTTCCAAGTCCGCTAGGCGCTTAGCTTAACCTCGGTTGAGAATGATATAATTTAGAAATTATTTTAAAAATGCATGATCACTCTGACGAATCGGGGCCGTTCAGTCCCTCTGCTTTGGACTCCGGGCTATTAACGGCCACGTGTTTTCGTTAATCAAGAGAGACATCGGGTTAGGGGCTAATCAACAGTTCCCCAGTACCGGAAGTTAATAATAAGACGTTAGCAGACAAGAGGGTAACTTGTCGAAGTAGCACGTTAGGGACAGGCTGGTCTGAGGGAGGGGGCCAATCAATTGACCAGCTGTGTTCTTCCCCTCTATTTCTTTGACTTCATATTTTTGCCAATTGGGAATAGTTTTTTGTACATGCAATAGGTACATGCAATAAAAAATATCGGTACAGGCTGATTTGACGTTATCTGAAGGACGGGATTGCTTTGGTTTTTTATTTTCCTGTTCTCTGTTTCTCTGTTTTGCTCTGTTCGACGCTCTCTCTCGCTCTCCTCCGCTCTGGACAGGGACGTCGTTAGCGGATACTGCAGGGAGGTGCGGCGGCTGGGGTTCAGGCTGATGGGTATCATCTCGGAGAGCCTGGGGTTGGAGAAGGACTACATAGTGAAGGTGCTGGGCGAGCAGGAGCAGCACATGGCCATCAACTACTACCCGGCCTGCCCGGCGCCTGATCTGACCTACGGCCTGCCGGCGCACACCGACCCCAACGCGCTCACCATCCTCCTGCAGGACCCGCAGGTGGCGGGCCTCCAGGTCCTCAAGGGCGGGCGGTGGATCAAGGTGGATCCCCACGCCTGCGCCCTCGTCGTCAACATCGGCGACCAGCTGCAGGTGAGCTCCCGTTGATCGCTGCTGCAGCAGGAGAGGGACTAGTTGGAGAGGGATGCATGGGGGGTGTTGAGGTTCTCTCATTCTGTGTTCGCAGGCGCTGAGCAACGGGCAGTATAAGAGCGTCTGGCACCGGGCGGTGGTGAACCAGGAGAAGGAGAGGATGTCGGTGGCTTCCTTCCTCGCGCCCTGCAACACGGCTCTGATCAGCGCGCCGGAGAAGCTCACCAGCGGCGGCACGCCAGCCGTCTACCGGGGCTTCACCTACGCCGAGTACTATCAGAAGTTCTGGAGCCGGAATCTGGACCAGGAGCACTGCCTGGAGCTCTTCAAGTGTTAGCCACCCACCCAAGACGCCATGAAGCAATTTCTGTCTTCTTTTTCTTCGACGAAGCGCCGTCCCTCTCCACCACGAAGGGGTTATGACGGCGGCGGGGGCAGTGCCCTCCGCCGAACACCGGAGGATTACCATAAGAAAACTCTTTCGACGAATACCGGTCTGAGATCACCAATTATGACGAATAAAATACTCAGGCAGGCCAAGACTGTGCTACGGGTTTTGGTCTGGTGTCTCGCTTCCCTCCATCCCACCATAAAACCTCGTCAGCAGCCCATGATGGCCTCCTTCCCAAGACAAGGTGGTCCATGTAGTGGCTGGGTGGTCTACGTAGTTGGTCTGTGACCCCGTACCAACTTGGCGTTCAGAGACAAATCTTTCCTTGCGTTGGCCAAATGGCACATGTTGTTTCTGCGAAATTCCTTTTTTTTTCACAAACGGGTGTGGTCGGCGGTGGCTAGGGCACGCATATGAGTTTCTACAGAAGGACACAACGTACAGAAATAAATGTCGCCTACTGAGGTTTAAGCTATTTATGACACTAAGATATCGGTTATACGTCAGGTGGTCCTATTTTTTATTGATTTCGGTTAAAATAATTAGTGCTAAAGAAATATTACTCAAAATTTTAAGTAATAACATTTATATGAATTCAACCCTAGAGAATATATTTTTCCAATAGCATACTATTGAGGACAAAACTATAAAAATCTCAAGAAGAAAATGGCTACTTCAGGTTTTTGACAAAAGAGAAATAAGCTCACATGGCCTGATATCTAACTTGGCTAAATTAGGGTTTTGATAAGGCATTAGCAAGAACTAATTCTTCATGTCAAGTGCCAATTAACCACGTGGCAACCTCTCTCTCTCTCAAGCTAGAGAGAAGGATTTGGGCTTAAGATTTTCTAACTTTCAATAAGTATTAAGATTTTCAATAGACAGAAATAATTTTTTAAAATAAAATTATGGTAATGTATATAAATATCGACTCTCTAGAAATTTTCTAGTTGTAGACATATCTCAATTATAAATAACATATTTATAATTATGCAAATATCTATTTTTAGATTAATATACAAAAATATTATTTCACACGTCAAAAATCCATAAAAAGTAAAGAGGTAATAATAGAGATAATAATAGGCCAATAACTTGTTATGATAGGACCCATATTTTTCTTAATAAATTTATTATTCTAAAGGTTCAGCTTTTTCTATTATGCAATGGTGTTTCTGATAAGAGGGTAGTCATATCATTGTTTTTATTAAGGATACATGTTAATTTTGTAGACTTTGGGGGAGAAGGGAAGATGTGGAAAAAGGGCAAAGCCTAATAGAATCACTCTTAGAGGTAGTCAAGCATCTAGTATTCTTATTTGAACTAAGGTACATGCATTGGATAATGAGTTCATGTAGCTATAGTTCATCAAATCGTGGAACTTGTGATGAGTTAGAGTTTCTACTTATATTGTTTGTCCTTAATTTTCTCAATCAAAAATATTATTTTAATTTGATTTGCAAAATACTTGTAGATAGCAACGAGTCAAGTCATCTCCTCAGAGAATTTAGGGCTTACTATTTAATCATTCTAATGAAGGATAGAATGAAAAAGAAAACAAGGGGTCATGGATTGAAAAGAGAAAAAAATAAGGAGAACGGTGAATTCAGATCCAATTTCTTAGATCTCGCAGGCATAAGAATGATAATCAATTGTTCATGACATCTACTCCTAAATTCCTAATTAAAGTCTAATCTAAATTAATGAAACTTTCTTCATCTTGAAACTAACTTGGTGTTACAACTCCTTCCTTACTTCTGCTAGAAAGAGGCGTTCACTTGAAGCAACAAGAAAGAATTATATATGTTTTGAAGCATATTCTATGATTAGGAAAATCATAAAAGCATATTCAATGTCTAAAATAATTTGGTTTAATAAGCCACTCAAATGTGTATGAGGAGGTTAATCTCATAAAATTCTACAAAACTTTTGAAACATTAGTATACCTTGGAACCTATTAAAAATTATATTTATCAATGTGAACAACAGATTAATAATATCATAGAAATGTAAAATTAACTAAGTTAAGGTGTATTCCAGCACATTATTCATGTTTTATCAACTTGTTATATTGTTCACATACTTTGATAAAATCAACTTGAGAGATGTACCAAGTTTTCTTTGTTTCATTTTATTTAATACTTTATTTTAATATGATAGGGAGTTGGAAGTTTGTCATGAATTGGTTATGTTTCTTCTCAATCTTTCATATGTATGTGTGTATATATATATATATACTATTTCCTTAGTTATTTTGTAATCAATGAGAACCAACTCACTATTAATGTGCAATATATTTATGTTAATCAAGAAATAATGATAATAAATATTACATTAACCAATGTCATGTTTAAGAATAAGTGAATGAAAAACATCAAACAGATTCTAGAATATGTTTCATGAATTCCCACTTTAGTCTACATATTATTCATAATAAATTTTTGTTTGATTTAATAAACCATGTTCTAACATGATTGTTCAAGGCATATATCCTTGATAAATATTTTTTAATTGACAATAAAAGGTTGTAAAATTAGAATTATATAAAAAATAAAATTTCTCCTAGACTTATATGAACTTATGGAGGTGTTGTGGCTGGTAAGGGCTAGAAGATATCAAGCCCAGTATCAAGGCCCATTGGCATGGGTTAAGAGGGATAGAGAAGGAAAAGGGGATGATAGGGCATGCACAAGGTGGATCCTTTTTGGTGGGAAGAGATGTGGAAAAGGGCTTTCATTGGTGGCAGCATGATGTTTGTTCTTGATGGCAAGAGGTGGAGCCCAATGGCACCAAATAAAGCATGACAATGGGGAGTGGAGTTTTCCCTTTCAACAATTGAGCTCTATCTCTAGGTGACAACGGAGAAGAGTACAATAGTAAAAAGGGGAAGCTTGGGAACTGATTTTATGTCTAAATTGTGTTTCATTTTCTTTTTTTTGGTGACTAGTTTGACAATGTTGAATATAGGCACAAAGTGGGTAAGATATCTGTTGTGCTCCTCAAATCCACAAGCTCACTAAGGAAGGGGTGCCAATCATCACAACAAAAGAAGAGAGGAGATAATCAGCCTTCCTAAGTAAGGCAAACCAACCCATAGTAAATTCAGAGGCAAATGTGGAGAATTTAGATAGAATATGATGTAAGAAATTGATTGCATGGTAACTTCTAAATTCCACATCATTATAATTTACTACAGAAGAAGGGAACAAGGGGAAGAAGTTTGGAGGTTGACCCCTTTTGAATGTTATCATCTACTCTATCTATTATGTTAGTTATGTTGTTAGGAGTCTTGGCTTGATCCATTCTAAATGGGCTTTCACCTTTGGGCATGACATGTGATTTTTTTGGGTCAACCCTCACCCTATGCCACATGCCAATTCTCTCAAGATGTTGTCCAAAGAGCTCCAATAGTAGTGTAAAGTGGTGATCAAGCTCTTCTAAATCGACCATACTTCTAAGGGCCAAAATGCAATCTCAAAGCTCTAGTATGACTACCTCCACTGATAGTTTTTCCTCATCTCAGTAATATCACAAAGCTACCATCAATTAGGAACATCAATCATGACATTTATCTGGAACCTAACTCTAATGTAATCAAAGTACGACCCTTTTAGTATCCACAAGTTTAACAAGTTTAAATCAAGAAGCTTGTCTACAACATGTGCAACACTAGCATCATCTATATTACTAGTGAGAAAAAAAAATGGATTATCGTATTTTGTGTTGACCATATTGTTTCTACATCATTTAAGATTGTTTCTTGATTCTAGTCATGGAGGAATTGCTTGATGAACTTTATGACATAGTGATTTTTTAAAAAATTAACTTGAAATCAAGATACCTCTAAATCTACATCAATGAGGAGGACATTCTAAAATTAGTTTTTCAAAATCATGAAAGGCACTATATATTTCTCATAATGTCCTTTGGCCTGTGTAATGCTCCAACAACATTCCAAATATTGACGAATATGATCTTTCGTGAGTTGTTTTTGAAATTCATCTTCATTTTATTTGACGATATCTTGATTTTCAGTTTTGAGAAAGAAGAGCATTGACAATACTTGACTTAGACTTTTTCTCTACTTTGTGATCATCAATTATATATTAATATTAAGAAATGTGCATTTAGTTAGAAAAAAAATCAAGTATTTAGGTCATTGGCTTTACTTGCAATGTAGAGATTGACCAAGGAAATATTGAAGCAGTCTTCAATTGGCCCCCACCCTAGACTTGGAAGCAACTCTAGGGATTCCTACATCTTAACAATTATTATCATCTTTTTATTAAGAATTATGGGGCAATGACATAACCCCTCTTTTAGCAGTTTAAGAAATATTCTTTTTGGTGGGAAACAATTGTAGATATGATATTTATTTGTCTCAAGCAAGTATTAACAATTGCTCTAATTCTTGTCTTATCAGATTTCGCAAATTCATCTAAGCTGTAAGCTAATGCATCAATTATAGGCAAAGGGGCAATGCTCATATAGTATTAACAACTCATTATGTTCTTTGGACAAGTATTATCAACCTTAGGCTAATTGAAATTAATATAAAAATGTGAATTAGTGGTTGTGTCTCTTGTAGTACTAAAGTGGAGACACTATCTCTTCAAACAAAATTTATAATGTACATTATTAGTGAAGTGATAAGTTTTTATTATCATGAGTTATAATTAATAAATAATATATTTTTAGCCTTAATTCATGATGAATAGACTTATATTTGTAAATTATGAAAAGTGATTTTTATTTAGTTAATGTGAATTTTTGACTAATTATTTGATTTCATGTGAACTTATATAATTTTTATAATCTTATTTTTGAGATAAATGAAGAAAAAGAAAAGAAACTAAAAAGATAGAAAAAGGAGGGGGACCTACTGGCCAGCTGAGCTTACAAGTAGGTCGGAAGCATAGTCGAGGTAGAGCCACAAGTAAGGGCAT